AAAAAAAAAAAAAAAAAAAAAAAAAAAAAAAAAAAAAAAGAGAAGTATAATTCCACTTCCACTAAAATTCTTCATGCATTTTTGCAACAATTATAGAAATCTACTTTATTTTTCATCTGTAATGATGAGTATTCAGATGTTTTTATGTGTTAAGGAATGTTTAGTTGAAAAGGATCATGCTTTACTTGATTATATGTGGACTTGAATAAAAATAATAATAGCTCAATTTTGTGTAGCATTTTATGGTATACAATGAACTTTCCAATAAATCTGCATAGATAATGTATTACTGTCTTATTTAAAAATGAAGAAACTGAATCTCAACGAGGCTTTCGTTTGACCAGCCCACTCTGTAGGTAGTAGAACCAGGATTTGAACCCACTGTTTGATTGATAATGTAGGTCCCTTTTTGCTATAATATACCACTGCTCATCACAGTTTTTTACAAGCTCTGTATCCATGTGAAAAGGAATTTGATATCTTTCCTGACCTCTTTTGTACATACCAGGTTAGTCTTCGAGGACTGTGAACTCAACACAGGTCACTGGTTTTAAGCTAAGGATCTCTAGGCTAAGCATGTAGTGCCTGATAAAAAGTGAATGAAAATAAAGTGTGGAGACTCCAGAAGATAAGATCGTTTTCAGCAAACCTTCCAAAAAGAAATTAAGAAAACAATCTCATTTGCAGTAGTGTCAAAAAGTAAAATACTTAGGAATAAAATGAACCAAGGATGTGAAAGATCTGTACACTGAAAACTATAGAACATGGATGAAAGAAATTGAAGACACAAACAAATGAAATGATATCCCATGTTCATGGATCAGAAAATTTAATATTGTCAAAATGTCCACACTACCTAAAGTGATCTACAGATTAAATGCAATCTCTATCAAAATTCTCATGACATTTTTCACAGCAATAAAAAAATCCTAAAATTTGTATGGAACCACAAAATACCTTGAGTAGGTGAAATAGTCTTGAGCAAGGGGAACAATGCTGGAGGCATCACATTTCATGATTTCAAATTATGTTACAAAACTGTAATAATCAAAACAGCATGATATTAGGATAAAAAGACAGATGGACCAATGGAAAAGAATAGCCCAGAAATAAACTCACTCATAAATGGTCAGCTAATCTTCAATTAATTCACCAAGAATACACAGTAGGGAAAAGATAGTCTCTTTAATAAATCGTTCTGGGAAACAAGATATCCACATGTAAAAATAATGAAATTGGATGCTTAGCTTACACCATACACAAACTCAACTTGAAGTGGATTAAAGACTTAAGCATATGACCTGAAACAATAAAATTCCTAAAATAAAACATAAGGGAAACGCTCCATGAAATTTGTTTTGGCGCTGATTTTTTTTTAAAGTAATACTAGAAGCACAGGTAACAAAACAGAAGTAAACAAGTGTGTTTACACAGAACTAAAAAGTTTCTGTGACAGCAAAGTAAGCAACCAACAAAATGAAAAAGGAACCTAAGGAATGAGAGAAAATATTTGCAAACCATATATCCAATAAGGGGTTAATATTCTAAATACAAAAGGAACTCATATACAACTCCATAGCAAAATCTAGATTTCATTGTTTTTTGTCAGTTTGTGGCCCTCAATTTTTCTATGGTTGTGGGACCTCAACAATAAAAGTCAGCTAACTGGCTCATTAAACAAAAACAAAAAAAATCTGCTTCAAAAATAATTTTTTAAAATTTCTATGGCTGTCCTCCACATGAATTAATTGTCAAATACTCCTTTTAAACCCCAACAGACCAGTACAATTACATGTATTTGTACTTTGATAGATTCATATTTATAGATTACCACTAAACTATCTTCTCAGTAGTCATTCCTTCTCTTTACACTTCATGATCAATTGATATAAATCAGTTATTTAAGAATTTGAGAAAAATGTGCCTTTGCCTTAATATTTTATACTGTGTTAAGATCCTGACTCATTTGTGATATTCACTCTTAGAATGAAAACCAATTCTGACTTCATTTTCTTTATATATATCTTTTTGATTTTTTTACTACTCTCATTGTGAAGGTCACGGGCAGTGTAATTGTGGAAGATGTGACTGCAAAGCAGGCTGGTATGGGAAAAAATGTGAGCACCCACGTTCCTGCCCGCTGTCGGCTGAGGAGAGCATCAGGAAGTGTCAGGGAAACTCCGATCTACCGTGCTCTGGAAGGGGTAAGTGAGGGCTCCTGGGCTTGTCACTGCCTCAGATGAATTGTGTTCACATATATCTCATTTAAAAGATAGCTGAGATCCCTGAATGAGGAACAACTAGTCTTTTCAGAACTAATAATAAACCCCTCTTGTATGATGAGAGTACCTGGAGAAATATAGTTTTCTTTCTCTGCCTTACACTCACATACATGCATGCATACACATGTATGCATTTGCACATTCTGTCCATGTACGGTAGCTTTGAGGTATGTTCAATTCAGTTCAATGTTACATTAAAAAACACAGTTTGGATATTTGCTTGAAGCTTTCTGAATGAGACCATCTAGTTGTCCACTAACATTTTTGAAACTTGATAGCATTATTTTGAGGAGATTGCTGGCTTTTGAAAAAGCATTGTATAAACAGCTATGGATAAGTGTTTGCTTTTTTCTAAGACGTGTAGCCTCGGGTGTGCTCTTGGAACCAGTCAGTGAAAATTGGAGGAGAAAGAAATATTCATCTAGAGGAACACCAGTTTTGTTATTTTTGATTTATCAAAATAAGAAATACAATTTCACCTCTCACATGAGAATAGCAAAGTTAATATGAAATATGCTTTTGGAAGAGCTAGTAATTGAAATTATTACAAATTTTGTTCAAGAAAGTGGAAAAGGAGACAGACTTCCTTTACTTGAATGTTAGATCAGAAATTTAATTTTATGTTGCATTTTTATTTTTTAAAGATGTACTTTTAAATGAAGATATAATTTAAATACCATAATATTCATCCTTTTAAAGTATACAGCTCAGTGTTTTTAATATAGTCACAGAAGTATGCAACTGTCACTACTCTCTAATTCTAGAAAAATTTTATCACCGCAAAAAAAAAAAATCCCTGTACCCTATAGCAGCCACTCCCCATCCTCTAGTCCCCCATCCCCTAGAAACTTCTAATGTACTTTCAGTCTCTGTGGATTTGTCTATTCTGGATATTTCATATAAATGGAATCATAAAATATGCGGTCTTTTTGAGTTTGGCTTTTTTCACTTAGCATAATGTTTTCATGATTTACCAGTGTTGTAGCATATATCAATACTTCATTCATTTTGGTTGGATAATATCCCATTGTATTGATATCCTACAGTTGTTCATTCATTCACCAGTTGATAGACATTTGGATATTGAAGTGATTTCTACTTTTGGGCCATTATCATTAAGGCTCCTATTCATGTACATGTTTTTATAGAGACATCTGTTTTTATTTCTTTGGGGTATATAACTATGAGTGGAATTGATGGGTCAAGTGGTAATTCTATGAGTATGTTTAACTTTTTGAGGTACTACAAGACTCTCTTTAAAGTGGCTACAATGTTTTTCGTTTCCACCAACAGTGTGTGGAGGTTCTAATTTCTCCACATCCTTGCCAATACTTATTGTCTTTGATAACTTATAGTATTCTTTATGTAGCAAACTCTCCAAAGTCTCCAAGATTATTTATACCATAAGTATTTTTTCATATACAGTATTTTTCCCTAACGATTATAAATAGGGTTTAGGATATGGGTAGAAGGAACTTTTTTTAATCTCAGAATTATTTCTGACTAACCCCATCTTTCAACAATAATCCCAGACAGGGACCACTGTCTACCTGTATTAATAATATTGTCATTAAAGTGCTTATAAAGCCTATCATGCTTTTTTAGATTAAAAATTAGTACCTCTCAGACTGCTGTTACTTACCCACACTTATAATCTCCAGCAAAAATAAATATATTTCCTTTATATTTTTCAGTTCTAAAGCATAGAAAATCACTTTAAATACATACACATACCAGTCAATGGTTTTTCATTTGTCTCTAAATTTTAAAAACATTTTACATTATTATTTTACATTTACAAAAAGCTTTAACTATTTTGCCCAGCCTTGTAAAAACAATGAACACAGAAAGGCGAATCAGTGCTTTTTTATAAAAAAAAATCAATGTATGTTTTAAAAAATTTATTATAATACTGGGGACAATTCCATTCTAAACTGAAAACCTTGGGAGGGAAAGAAAATAACTTTATCTCAAAGTAGATGTTTGTTCTTAAGAATCCTTTTCCAGTTACAAACACTTTAGAAAAGATTAGGTACTCTGATTTTTGCTACTACCCTAAAGTAATAAAGCACAGGGAGGTCTGATATCTTAAGCCATTATTTAAGTTAAGGGACTCACATTCTTTAAAATTATTAAAACTTCAAATGGTTATGTCACTAGTAGAAGTAAATACAATAAAAACCAATAGGGATATGTACTTATATTTCAAACCAAAAAAACAAAAGGGACAAAATTTAAACTTCTTTAACAAATGCTTTCATATTTTGAGGCTAAAAAAATGGCAAATTATATAATGGAAAAATAAGAACAACATATAAAATATCTCTCAAACATACACAGTCACTTTAAGTGTATACATGTACCCACAGTTTTCATTTGTCCCAATTTTTGAATGTATACAAGTGCAAGAAAATTTTTGTGGACCGTGCATCTCATATGTCCATCTTAAATGAACTCTGACTAGGTTTGTTCTTCAAACTTAAATTTGTTTTCTGTCTTTCTTGAGATTTGCTAACTTATTTAGCTACCATTTTTAAGTAGTAGAATATATTTAAAGTTTATTTTATTAAAAATGGGTTGAATACATGATTTTTAATTTTTTTTTATAATTCCAGAAAATAGTAGCATTATCTTTATCAGTTATTTAACCTTATGTAATTAATTTTTCTTTTGCCTTGATCTTGATCGGCAGCTTTATAATACCATCAGATTTTTTAATATAGTTTTGAAAATTTTTCATTTTTCTATTGATCTAAAAGTTAGTGAACTTGTTAGTCTTTTCTATGAATCTGCTTACAGAAAAATCAAAACTGTGGATGACAGAGACTTAGAATTTTATAGTTAAAATCTGATGAAAGCTTATTAGAATGAGTAATTAACAATGAAGTTTGACTATTTCTATGACATACAGCTCCTTAAGATAACAATCAGCGTCATGACTGATAGTGTCACATGAAGACTATCAGAGTTTATAAGTTTTGTATAATCTTTAGAATACCTATATCAATAACATATCCATCCAATTATTATTAACAGTATATTTTAAAATTTTTATGTAATTTTAGAACATCTATGTTAACAACATACCTATAAGTGCAACTAAAAGAAGGTCTAGTAACGTTTACCATTTGACAGTCCTCTGGCAGTAATTTCCAAGTAAATAATAAGCTTCTCTAGTTTCCTCACAGAGAAATGGAGGTATCAATGGGTGATGTGATTTCCCAGGAAACCATAATGAAGTAGAAGATTTTTGAGAATGAAAACCAAGGATTTATGACAGCCATGGTGCTCAGACCAATGAGCAGACCATTCCTTTCTGGCAGTGTTACATCTGCAAATTCACTGGCACTGGGTGTTTTGAAGCAAATAGCCAGTAGGAAAACTTTTAAAGGATTAGTTTTGCAATTTTTGAATGAAAACTGCAGCTGTGGTTACATGAGTGAGGAAAGCAATTACAAGGCCCCTCAGTTCTCAAGCCTGAGAGCCTCGTCAGCACTCCAGCTGGGGCAAAACCCAAACCAAACCAAAACAAACAAACATACAATAAAAACCCTCCTGGTTTCCTGGTAGAATGTACTGAACTTCTTCAGGGACCAGGTGAAAGCATATTTTTTCACTGGAAATTAAAATTAAATTAGATTAGTCGCTTCTGCTGGTGATGACTAAGTGTGATCATTATGTCTTGAAGGAAGGAGAATAACTTAGGGGGCGTTTTTATAAAAATAATGAAAGTTATTCTCAGAACCATTTAAAACATAGTATTGCAAGTTGAGAAGTGTTATCACATTGTGTGGGTTCTTCCTACAAGTCTTTCACCTGTTAATTCTAGTTAATTGACAGCTCTTAAAAACTGGACTCTCTGGAGTTGTAGCCAAAATCCTGCTTTGCCTATCTTCCACAATATCAGTGAACTAATAAATTTATTTATTAAGCTCACTTATTAAGACACAGCAGCAAAACTTCCTAATTTAGGTGAAGAATTGTTAAGGAGACTTCTTTTATGAAAATATTTCTATCTAGGACTTATATACTTTCCTTAATTTCTTCCAAATTATTTGAGTCAGGCTTACTGAGGTATAATTTACATGTAATCCTTCTCATATATAGTTCAATGAAATTTGACAACTATATAGTCATAAGCCTGCCACCACAAGAAGTATTTAGAATATTCTGATATTCCCCCACAAAGTTTCCTTATACCATTGTAGACAATCCTTCCCCACCCTCAACATTCAGACCCTGACAACCAGTGATCTGATTTCTTTCTCTTTTTTTATTAAAACATAATTGACTGTACATACCCGTGGGATACAGCATTGAATATCAATACTTGTGTGCAATATGTGATGCACAAATCAGGATAATTAGTATATTCCAGTATATTCAACCTTATAAATTGAATCATTTTTTTATGGCCTTTCACCGATTTCTCACTAACACCCTCTCTCCCTTCCCCTTTCCCACCACTGTTGGCTTCAGTTCTCCTCTTTCCTTTTGAAAGTTAAATGAATTATTGTGATCATTGTATCTGTTTTTCTTTCTTTCTTTCTTTGTTTACTTTATTTAGCTCCCACTTATGAGTGTGAATATGTGGTACTTCTATTTCTTTGCCTGGCTTATTTCACTTAAGATAATTTTCTCTAAATTCATCCATGTTGCTGCAAATAGCAGAACTTCTTTCTTTTTTATGGCAGAGTAGTACTCCATTGTGTAATTCCTTATGCAGTCATCTGTTGATGGATATTTAGGTTTATTCCAATTCTTGGCTATTGTAAATAGACCTGCGATAAACATGGGAATGCAGGTATCCCTTCAACAGGATGATTTCCATTCCTTTGGGTATATACCCAGAAGTAGAATTGCTGGATTGTATGGTAGTTCCATCTGTAGTTGTATGAAAAACCTCCATACTGTTTTCTGTA